GATTAAAGGATTTCACCATTAACACCTCATTACCATTAGTTATAGATTGTGCTGAAAATGATTTTGTGAATTAATATGTAAAACCAGTAGGATTGTTTTTAAAAAAATATAAATTTTAGTCAATATTACATATACTCTCTTCTCTCTATATAGGCAAAGCATTTAGGTATTATATTTGAAATTAATTATTGCCACAACAAGCATTGTTGCTTCTAGTAAAATAGAAGAGAATAATTTTTAAATTTGGTCTTAGATTAAGGTCCTTGAAAATTTTGTTGAGGTCCTTGAAAAGTCCTGGAAAGTCCTTGAATTTCAATCTCATCATAGAGTAGGAACCCTGTATATTTGTATGATATAACATACATAATATACATATAATTGTTTTTAAATAAATATGAGAACAATTTTGTATCACTTTTTATTCTTTAATTTGCAATTTATTGAATAAATTTTAATTCTTTGCTTCAACTCTTTTTTATGGCAAATTTTTTATACTGGCTTTTAGTTTGACGACTATTGAGGAATCAGTGGGCTCTCTCTTGTCTGATTCTGAATGCGATGAAAGTGAGGATGATATTCACATTGCTGTAACTCAGCGGAAACGTCGCTCTAAAGGAAAGTCCTCGAACATTAATGAGCATTCATTAAAAAAGAGAAAGTCTGAGGTAAATAATTACCATTTTTATAAATTCATAAATCTTTTTTTTTTCTCCACCCTTTATCATATAGTATCTGTTAACTGTTCTAACTAATTTGCTTTATTTAAGCTAGTTATTATTTGAGGAATATATCAGCTGAATGTTTTTAAAGTAAAGAGTTCAGTAATGAGAGTATGATTTTATAATTTGTGCTGTCTATTTTTTATTGATTGAAAGTTATGAGATTTAGTAACAGAAGCCTATTTGAATCATTTTATTCGTAAGTAAATGCTTATTACATTCAGTTTTCTCAGTATGATGAATATGCAGTTAATTATCATTGAATATGCAGTAAGTGTAAATTATGCTCTTTATTTAATTTTTATTTAAACATGAAATGTAAATTTTATTCGTAAATAAATGCTGATTACATTCAGTTTTCTCAGTATGATGAATATGCAGTTAATTAGCATTAAATATGCAGCAAATGTAAATTATGCTCTTTATTTAATTTTTTATTTAAAAATGAAGTGTAAATTAAAAATTATATAGAGTAGGTCTGCAACGTAACAATTATTTATTTAGTATATTAATGAGGTAAAAGGATGAAAATCATTGATCTAAATTCTTACTTTGTTACCTAATAGTATGTACAGTGCACAAAATAAAAAACGGACCACCCTTAATAATTTTTGATCTAATGATTAATCTTCGCATTCTAGTTCTCATTCTTTATTATTCAAAAGGGTTATTTCAAATATGCTAATTAATTAACACTGACTATATTTTATTTTACTAAATCAGACACAAAAACATACTTTCTCTGATCAAACATAATTTTTTTTTTTTTTTTTTGACGGACTCAAATTTCTGACCCCAAAATATAGGGGATATCGGCAGTCTGAGAAATATAGTCCCAAAGTATTTTTGGACCTCTTAATGTTAAAATTTTTTTTTCATATTTCGTCATATCTCAAAAGCTTTTTAAGCAAATTGAAAAGTTTTTACTCACAATTATGAAAATCATTTATCCAAAGATAATTCCATGCAAAAAAATAACTTTTAGTAAATATTTTTTGTTTTTTATTATTTGTTTAATATTAGTAAGAGAAAAAAGTTGAATTATGAGGAACACAATTTTTTACACCATTTTAAAGATAATTTTATATGGCAAAATACAAAATTCAAAAAAGTCTTACTTTAAAATGTGATTTTTTAGGAACTATTTGACTGATTTCGTTCAAATTTTTTATTTTACCATGTAAAATTATATTCTTTAAAATGACATTAAAAATTTTATACCTTACAATTCAAAATTTTCCGAGTAATGTAAAATAAAATATTTATTAAAATTTATTTTTTGCTTCGAATCATCTATGGATAAATGAATTTTATAATTTTTTCAATTCGTTAAAAAAGTTCTAGTGAAATGGCGAAATACGTAGAAGGAAAAATTTGAATAAAGGTTCTAAACTTTAGACCGCTCTTCTGGTCAAACTTATGATACCAAATTTTTCCAAATTGCGGCTACCTCCTATATTTTGGGGTCAGAAATTTAAATCCGTCGAAAAAAATTATGTTTATTCAGAGAAAGTACGTTTTGTGGCCGATTTAGTTACTTAAAATATCACTTGCACTAATTAATTAGCATGTTTGAGGTCACCCCCTCGAACCCTTACTATTGAGTCCTAGAATGTGAAAATCCTATCATTAGATCAGAAGTTATTCAGGGTGGCCTGTTTTTTCGCACTGTAGAATAGCCATGAAATTGGCATTAACCTCAACCCACTTAACTTCGAAAAGATAGCAAAAAGTAATTAGGTATAGTAGGGATGCATAACTTGCGGCCTGCGGTAACAACCTGAACAAAATAAAAGAAAAAATAATTCAATTTCCTTTTCTTTTTTTGAAAAATGAAAAAAAGTTTGGAAAATTGAAGTTGCGCGTTTAAGTTTTTGGTGTTTGAAAATCACAATATTTTTAATGCAGCATTATTATGATGCACGAATTTTGACTTTCAGCTATTAACAATCTTCGTGTGTGCCGATTTCATCGTAAATCCATTGACTTTTCGGTAGTTATTGTTACCCATTTTTACATAGTTTCTGAAATCGCGATTTTTTTAAATATGTTTTAACGTCTTGAAAGTTATGAAACGTTTTATTTGCACAAACTTCATCACAAATCTAAATGACTTTTGATCTTTTTTTTTCGACAGTTATTGCTACACGTTTCCACTTGATTTTAAAAGTTTCGATATTTTTAGCACGATATTATTATGAATCGCGAGTAACAAATCGCTCATTTAGATAACCATTTTTCTATGTGATTTACTTGTGCCTATTTTATCGCAAATCAAATTATTTATGAATCATTATTTTGAAAATTGCTACACATTTCTACAAGGTTTTGAAAGTTCGGATATTTTTCATTGTCACAGGTATTTCTATAATGCAAATTGTGTGTCAGCTTTGTCTGTGATTTGTTGAAATATTTGTAAATCTACAAAAGCTGCAAAGCTTTTAGCTTGAAAGGAAATAATGATTTATTTTGTATTATTGATGACTCTCTTTTAATAAAATTTTATTTTTGTATACATACTAATTTCAAGTGTGCTTGAAGTCATTGGTATCAGGAGTGCACTCTGAAGTACAACTAGAATGTATTGCAAAAATTTTTAAATTTTAATTTTTTAATAAAATTAAGCATAATTGTATATAAAAAATTATTATGCTTTTTATGAGTTAATGGGATTTTGGAGTTAAAGGGCTGTCCAAATTTGAATTTATTTTCGAATTTTTAGTTTTGTATCATTGTGTTTTAATAAAATTATATTAAAAAGTAAGTAATTAAATTCTTTCTTAATTTATAGGATAGTAAAAGGTGCAAATGCACTGATATAGCTTTTTATTTAGATTAATGGTTTTTACATAAAATTATATGAAAAAAAAATTTTTCTTCGACTTTCTTGTTTGTGTTTTGTTTTTTTCTGTGATTAATTTGGCTTTTCTGTGTCTCTTTTTGAAATTTGATTAAATATTTTCAAAGGCATCATCATATTCTTTACATTATTTATATTTTCAAAAAAAACAAAAGTGTGTTTATAACTCCACTGTGTAGAAAATACTTCAATTCAATTATTTTAATATAAATTTATTTACTTTTTGTCTCTCATAGGAGAAAGCTAACAGTCCTTGTTTCGATGATGATTTTTGTCTTGAAAGTGATTATGTGGCCAAGAAAAGTACTGTTAAATTTTGCAGCAACAGTGAACTGACTTCAGATTCATCAGATGCTCCACCTTCTCGCCCAGTTTTAAGATCAGGTAATTTTTTATTATAAAGACAGACCTGCCAACTCTCCTGCTTTTGCCTGAAATCTTCGCCCGCCGGCCGTCAGGGTGTTTTCTTCTGCTTTTTTCTATTTAGTACACGATAGCTGAAAAAACAAGCCATCATCCACACTTAGGATACAGCCCCCGTTTTTCCTTTGCCTCTTCACATTGTATGAAATATTATTTACGTCATCTCTTGACGCAATATCGTGTGACTTAGTAGAGTAGAAGAGGGAGGATTGGAAGCAGTGGGAGTGCGACTGAGCTACAATTGATAATTTTCTCTTTCGGAACGGTTCGTAAATCTGAACTGAAGTGAATGGAAGTTGTTGTTGCGCATTGTTTTGAATTCCGCATGCATAAGTGTCGCGTTTGAATTTTTAATTTTGTGTTCTATTGAGTTTAAAATGTCTGACTAACATAAAAAAGAAATATCAGACAGCTTTTAACAAAAAGTATTCTGATGATTTTCCTTGTATCCTAAGTTTAAGAAAAGGAGATAAGTTTGCATTCTGCTATGTGTGCCAAACAGATTTTTCTATTGCAAGCGGAGGAAGAGGTGATATTGTTGCCCACATGAATCGTGAAAAGCATCAAAATGCTTCTAGATTTCTCGAAGAAAATCGAAAAATAATTTTTTGTTAAAAAAAGAAGGAAACAATGATTTTTCTGTTATTTGTGCCTAATCATTTTTTACTGCTTTTATCTTAGAGCATGACCTCCCGATTTGTGCTTCAGATCATGCTGGGCATTTACTTAAAAAAATTTCCTCGCTAGCAACATCGCTAAAAATTACGGGTGTGCGCGAACCGAAGCAACAGCAATAACCAATTGAAATGGCAAAATCGGAGAGGAAATATATCTAGGATACCATTAGGCAAAGTGAATTTTCACTTTCTGTAGATGGCAGTTTTTTTTAAATAATGCTAAATCAGCAACTTCTGCAGTATTAAAACAGTAACAGTTTAAAAAAGATAAGAAATACACTTATAAAGTATTGTATTCATTATTGACACATTTTATTAATTGTGAACCTCTTCCTAAATTTTAAAAAATCAAAGGATGTGTTTTAATATAATTCTATAGAACCTTATATTTTATAGTAAGAACACACATCTTTATTAGTCAGTGTCAGAATCTTATTGTGGTCTATTTTATGTAATGTAAATAATATATTTTGAAATAAACTTCTTGTAGAAAATGTGAATGAGGTTTAATTTTCAATATTGTGCTATGTCGTGATACAGAAAGAGTCTCCTGCTTTTTTATTTTCTGAGATTGGCAGGTCTGTAAAGATTTATACTTTTGTGCACTTTAGCTCAAGCAAAACAAAAAATTCAAAAGGGGTCTGTTAAAGTGACATTCTCATTAATTAATGTTTTGAATAATTGGACAGCTAGTTATTAAGTAATGGTGCATACTACTTTTCATTCATAATTTTAAATGTTAATGCATAACTAATGAAAAGTGCTTACTGATTAATTAATTTCTTTGTTTATCAAGTGTCGAGAATTTTTAACTCATTGCTACCGCAACTTATCTGCCATTTAATTTACACACATCTGTTCCTTTAAACTTTAGATTTTCATTGAATGTCACATGTGTGTTGAAATAAAATATATTAAATTTTAAAAAATAGCTAAATTATTTTTGTTTATTTTTTAAATAATAAAAAAAAAAAAATTTCAATTAACCAAAAACCAATAATGAATATTTATTTTGCAATTACAGAAAAAAAATCTCATCTATGTCTTTATTTGCTTAAGAAATCCTAAACATATTATTTGAATTTATTTTAGATCTAGATACATAAAATATGTTAAATAAAATTTTCATTTATTCATCTTGAAAAGTAATTGAAAAAATAAAAAACTTTTCAGTCTGCATATATTAAAAAATAAAAAATCTCAATTTTGTTATGATTGTTTACTCGTTTAACTTTATCCCTAATTTATATATGTATTAAAGTTAAGACAAAATAAGAATAATTTAATTAAACACTTTGCGAAGTGTTTCTGAAAATTATTATTATTTTTTTAATTGGAAGTTAAGGTTTAAAATAAAGGTAAGTAGCCTTTTGAAATCATTCAACTCTTGTTTGTTGAAGAGCACCTACCTTGATTTTCATGTTGACAATGAAATGTTTTCATATTTTGTACATCTTGGTAATCATGTATTGTAACTTGTATCACGTATCTACGTACTTGTATAACGTATCATGTATATAAATAAAATTTCAAAAATTCGTTAAAACCTATCTGGAAATAGTTCTAAGGAACATTTTCTAATGGTGTAAACCTAACACTTTTTTAAAAAATGTGGCTTATTACTATGTGCGCCAATTGATTTATTTTTAAAAGTTAATCAAATTTATTAAAAATTATAGTTATATTATACAGTTTTAATTATAAATGTCTGTCTATTTATTGTTAGAGTCAGCTCATTCTTCAGTAAGAAATTACGATTTAAAACGAAATGATTACATTGGAAGGTAAGTTTTTAAACTGTTCTTCTGTTTGATTTAGAATACAATAATGATACTCTTGAAAAAAGTTACATTGTGTATATGATATTTATAGCACACCAACAGGACGTTACAGTTTGGGCGGCCGTGCTAATAAACCTCACGCATTTGCAGTGAAAACCGTTATAAGAACTGAAAAATGTTATCCATGTGGTAAAGTGATAAAGTTCTGTAAACAAGTCCTGAAGTGTGGTAATTGCAGAATGACTTGTCATCCTGAATGTAAAGATCAATGTCCTGAACGCTGCATTCCTGCAAATTTTACTCCAACCAAAGGAGTGCCGGTATTTATAATTTGATTGTTTTAAAAACTGGATGGTGATTTTAAAAAATTATATCAAATGTAAAATGATTATTAGTTTATTTCATTTATGTTAAATTTAATAAATAACATTAAACAATGTGAATTAAGGACATTACGTGTGCTTTATACATTCTGAGTACGAAATTATGGTTTGATGATTCCTCCCATTTAAAAAGAAATCTTTTTTTTTCTTTATTACCAACAATTCTTTTTTCTAAATTTACGTATATAATTTGTTTTTGTGTTATGTATTTTATATAACTTTTTCCATGTATTTTTACTGCATTCTTTTTCTTAACATACATTCAGTCGTTCTATTTTTTAAATTCTGCTCTTTCCGTAAATTTTTACTAATCTTACATTCCTTTGAATTACTTTAGCTAAAGGAGCACCGGTATTTATAGTTTAAATGCTTATAATTAGTTTTAAAAAACCTTGCACACAATGTAAAATGTTTATTGGCTTCTTTCATTTATATAAAATTGAATTTCCCATTATCATTTGAAATAAATTAATTTAAATATCGATGATCAGATATTTTTTTTTTTGACAAAAATTGTTTTAAAAAAAAGTACAAAATTTTTTTACCCTTCTAAATCTGTTTCTAATACACTTTTGTGTGATGTTCTAAACGTAGTTCTTTCCATATATTTTTGCTTTTTGAGAAAAAAAATAACTTTTAATCTTCTACCTAATGGAAAGATTTACTAATTTATTTGGGCAGTCCCAAAGTGTGCATCATGCGAGGTATAAGCTATTATTATATTTTCCCCAAATTGCTAAAAGGCACATTGTTAAAGAAAAAACTATTTAATTCTTAAATGCCTTAATTTCTTCAATAGCATTGTAAGTAGTTATCCGTATTTATTATGTAGCTTCATTTTTTTAATGATAGAAAAATTTATAAAACTCATTGCAAGTTTTCATACGATTCTTTTTTTGTGTCATTGTGTAAATGTTACTCTTAGTGGTAAGCCGTAATCATATATTTCAGCAATTTATAAAATTTGTATCTCCAAAGTCTGTTGAATTAATCTCTGTTAAGCTAACAATGATTAAGCTTGTAAATAAATAATAGTTGAAATTTTCACAGTTTTTCCTTATATTAAGTGTAAATAATTTTTTTTAAAAAGGGAACACTTTGTGATTATACACCATCAACTCCACCTATGATACCACCCTTAATTATCCATTGCGTTAGCAAAGTAGAATCGAGTGGCTTGAAAGAACTTGGATTATATAGAGTATCTGGAAGTGAGCGTGAGGTAAAGGAATTGAAAGAAAAGTTTTTGAATGGCAGAAGTATACCTTCATTAGTAAGTCTTTTTGCATACTATTCCAGCATGTGCAATTTTAGATATTAAAAGTTGCTAAATATCTGTATTTCTAAAAATTTATTTTATCGTTTTATTATTATTTATTTATTTTTTAAGAATATTTGTTAATGAGTTTTGGCAATTGTGACAGCTGTATTAAAAATATAAATTGTGTAATACCCTGATTTAAGAGAAATTAAAACTGGAAATAAGGTGTTTCCTTCTTTTTACTAAAATGTTATGCAGCAAAATTATAGTAAGTAGTAATTTTGTAGTATGCATTATCCATGCTGCTAGAATAGCATTAGAAATCTTGTACAAGTGCAATTTCAAAATTATAGTTTTTATTGAATAGGTTTGCATGGCATTTAATATACATTTATGGCATTTAATATACTGTTTAAGCAAGTGGTCAATAAGCAATAGCTTAAATGAATATAATGAAGCTTTTCTATTGTTTTTATTGTATTTTTACTTAATGCAATAACTCAACCTTTAAAAGGCACCTACATTTCATGTATTTTTAGAACATATGTATTGTGCATGTACTAAACTTTGTAATCATGTTTGAACTGTATGTCAAAGTGAAAAAAAAGGACAAAAAATTCATTCGGATTTTAATTTTAAAAGATTGTTATAATTTTTAAAACGTAATAATGAAAATGAAAATTGCTTTTGTTTTTATCTTTCATACTCAATGCAACAAAATCAAAAAGTTTAATTTGACAGAAAAAGAAAGAGAATTAACAATATTATAAGAGAAATGATCTCTATATGCCTTGATGTTATAGGATCCATATTTATCTGAAAAAGTAAAAACAAAGCTATAATTTATAATATAGTGAATATTGTGATGCCTGTAAGTTAATCACAGGGTTGCCACTGGGTAGACTTTTCTGTGCTCCTAACAATGTTTTTTTTTTTTTTTTTAGCAAATTGCAAATTTGAATCATCACTTTTTAATGCGCTCAATTTGCATAGATTCTATTTTGTTTCTCAATCGCCTTTTCAACAGTTATTGCTGCGAAACTCCACGTGATTTTAAAGAACCCAATTTTTGATGCGATACTATGATGCTTGAATTTCGAATTTTAGCAATCACTTTTTCAATATATATATATTTGCTAAATTAATTATTAATAAAAGGAAAAATTATGTGAAAAAGAAAATTAATAGAAAAGGTATGTTTTTAGCAAATATACTAATTTTTTTTTTTATATGAAAATTTAGTGCTAGAACACTAACGTTTATTTAAAAATTATCATACTGGCCGTCAACTTGACTAAATGGATTATGGTATATTACAATGAAGTCATTCTGTAAAATTTTAGTCATATTATTGAAAGATTTTTGTTCTTATTTAGGCACATATTTTCATAATTTTAGGCAACTATTTTCAAGCTTTAAACTACTAGAAGCAACTATTTTGTTCATTTTTTTCTGTGGCAACCCTATAATCATTATCAAATGTATTAGAATTGTACATGAAACTCTAAGTTTGAAATATGACAAAAGCATACTAAATGATAATCTTAAATTATATTTACTGCATCACTTAAGGAGATACATTTTCTTTCAAAAAATGCATCTATATATATAACACAAATGTTATGTTTTTTTTTTTTTTTAAATCTTTCATTTACCTTACTTTTTTATTGATTAGTTATATTCTGAAACAAGAGTAATTCTTATATGAGATCACTCTTTCATAAAAATAAAACTATACCTTTATAGTCTTTGTTCATTTTGTAACAAAACCTTAAATGTTTTATTCTGTGTTGAATCCTTTAGCATAATTTTATGAGGGATTCTTTTATTTCTTGTTAAAAATTACTGTGTCTAAGAAAACTGGGGTGTTTGTATAGGAAAAGCTGTGTTTATTTAACCCACTGAGCCTTTTTGGTTTGTAACACTTAAAGAAGTCCTTTAACCTATTGTTTTTCATACCAAAAAAAAAAAAAAACATTGTTCCCCCTTGATATTCAATGAGACGTGAGAATTATGAAGAGATTTTTCCATAAACTTGCCCAATTGTGAATTGCTTGGTTGGTGAAGTAATATGTTATGGTTATGAAAAGGAAAGGGTGTCATAGAAGACTGCTGTAGAGTTTCTAGTTGTGAAAGTGTCATTATTTCGTTATACTTGAGAATTATAAAGTAGTTATTTCAAAATATTAATGTTTTTATTTAAATGTTTATAATTTTAGAACTATCGATCAAAGATGTCGCTTTTTTTTCCTGACTTTAAAAATTTAGATTTTTATTCTTATTTCAGAATGGTGTAGATATCCATGCAGTTTGTGGTACAATTAAGGAATTTTTAAGATCGCTAAAGGATACTTTAATAACTAAAGCAGCATGGCAGATATTTGTAGATGCAGCAAGTAATAATATTTTTCTCTTATCAGAAGTTTTTAAAATAATAAATTGTTTTTTGCCTGTTATACTTGTTGTATATACAACACATATTTGTTATGCTTATCAGTTTTAATCAGGGTAAATTTGTAATGATTTTTTGGGGAATAATCTTTTTTATCTTTCCAATTTTTGGCTTTCTAAACCATTACTTCTGAATTAGTGTTTGTGTAGATGGCCCTACTGGCTGTCTTAAGGGTGAGTCTTTAGTTTTTTTCTTATCTTCCCATTTCCACTTAAAATACTTACTATGTCATGATTTCAGAACAATACAGCAATGGTTAATGTTGCACCATGAATCAATGAGTTCATGCAGGGGAATAAAATTGCAGAACCTCAAAGTTTTGATCTCATATAAATGAAAAGATGATCAGCAGAAACTGCTAGTAAAAAATATAATATGTATTTGCATTTACATGCTAAATAAAATATATCATATTTATGCATAATTTACTACTCAGCATATCTAATAGACGGAAATTAGAGAAATATAAGAAGATATTAATCATAATTTGTTAAAGCGGAAGTGGAAAACAAAGTTTACACTGTTTGTTTAAACTTAAGTATAGCAATGGTTCCTAAACTTATGACTTTTGTGTACCCTTTCTAAATTTTTCGTAACACTTGTGTACCACTAGTAAAAAGATTTATGAATTTTTTACTGTAAAAAAAATTACACAAAAGTTAAAAATCACAACTGGTTGTTGACACCACTAATTATTAACTGTTAACTCAGCAAAAAATAGCCAATAGAAATATACGTAATCATAAATTTTCATTGCTAGCTTTGTTTTTAAATAAACTTTTTTGCAATTTTCGTTTGTTGCCAGATATTTCGCATAAGAACCCATACCCCCGCTAAACTGTTCCTGAACACCTAGGGGTACGCACTTTGGGAAACACTGATGTATAGGTTGCTCGGGGTGCTTAGCGTTTTTAAAAAGTGATTAAAGGCAGCGTTTTTTTTAAAAGCCCTTTTTCAGCGTTTTTTTTAAAAGCCCTTAAAATTACTTCTTTTCATTGGGTGTTTTTACAAACTGCTTAATTTTTCCTTTTCCAAAAGGAGATTTTTTCTTTACCCTATCGATTTTCACCACAAATTATGCAAAAAGCTTGGCTTTCACATTATTCCATTCAACATATTCATAATTTATTCAACTCCCAATCCATTTTGGCATGCCAACAGTTCATAGGATATGAAAGCGCCAATTATTTTACACGTGTTTGATGAAATATTTGTGGATCTACATATGACCTTAACTGAGCTGGATTCACTGGGGATATTCTTGCCCTCTCATGTGCAACTCTGATGCATTTTGCAAGAGATTTTTCACTTTCAGGCATCCTTTTCCGTCCTCTAAATTTGAACCGAAAAATCAATTCAAATATTCCACCAAAATCTCGACTAATTTTTTGTTGATCAATGAAGTAAATTTGTTTATAATTGTTAAAGGTGTGTAATATTTTACTTTCGTTTACACTTTTAATATTACTATTTCAGATCGTCACGATGAGGAGCAGAGCTTTAACATGCTCCTTAATGCTTTCAGTGACCTCCCTCAACCAAACAGGGATACTCTTGCGTTTCTTATTTTACACTGGCAAAAGTAAATATAAATTTCATTTCACTATCATTTTGAGAAAAAAAAATAAACCATTTCAAGTGTATATTATATAAATCCATGTCTATTATCTAATCAGAGTTGCCGCTTCAAGAGAATGTAAAATGAATATTGACAACCTTGCCAGAGTGGTGGCTCCAACAGTTGTTGGTTTCTCTGAAACTGAACCAGCTAATATGTTGACAGAGACAAGGCTCATTTGTCGAGTAAGTGTCCCATTAAGTTTAAGTTTCATTTTAATATTTATTTATTATAATTTGGTGAACTGCTAAGTGTCAATTCACTCACAGGGTTGGAACAGCTGTGCAAGTTGCACCAAAATGAAATTAGTATTACTTAAATTCAGTATTACTCTATAGCTAAACTCTTGACTTTTAAATTGAAAACCTGATTAGTTTTAATTTAAAAGAAATCAGCTTAGTTTATACAAAGTACTCTTGAGCTTAATTTATTAAAATAAAGATTTGTGATCAAGTCTGAAGATGTCTCTTCAATCTGAAGATGTTAAAATGTTATAACACTCTACATCTTAAACATATATGAGCTTCCGATAGGATATTAAGAAGTATAAGTATAAATTCATATCGCGTAAAAAATAATGCTGCTCGCTTTCAGACCTGTATTTTAGAATGTGCTTTTAAATAAAAATAAAAAAAAAACTGAGAACCCCTGTTTAGTTATTTATTTATTTTATCTCTAATTAGGTGATGGAACGTCTTCTTATGATACCCTCAGATACCTGGCAAAATATGTTAACTGTTGAAACTGAGCAATTCCATACCCCAATGAAAACTCCAGAATGTACCCCAGGTAAATCTCTCTCCTTTTTTTTCTTTATCACTTTAACTGTAATTATAATCTGAATATTTCATATGAAATTTTGAAATACTTTGATTTATAGTGTAGCTAGAATAAATTTTAATATTTGGTTTTGTTCAAATTCTATAACTTTTATTTGATAATATTTCAGCTCCAGTTACAAGTCGATTGGGGCCTATTTTAACTTCTGGTCAGAAAATGAAGAGTACAACAGTTGTAAAAACTCCCTACAGATCTAGGTAATTTTTACATAAAATTCGGTATATTGATAAAACTTTATGTACAAATAAGTTTTTTTTTTAAAGCATTTTTTTTCTTCTTTTAATATTGGATTTGAGATTATGAATTTTTTCTATTTTTGGAATTAGTATAACCTTTTATATAACATGCCTATCATACTAACACTTGTTATTCTAATAAGCATGTTGTACTTGCCGTATGCAAATTGTTAAAATTATTTTTAATTTTGCTGTTTTACTGTTAGAAATATTCCTTCATTTGTTTTTTACCGGTTGGAAAAGCAGGTCTCCTTTTCATCAGTTTTTTATATTTCTCATTATTTTCAATTAGTTATTTTTATAACGTTTCTGGGAAAAAAATGGGATTTAAAGAAGATTTCTAACTTAAAAGCTTTAAATAGGAAAGTTCAATTTCTATTTTTAAAAAAGTTGACAACACTAAATTGCAAATAAATGGAAGTGGTGTTTCTTAAGAATTATGCCTGAAACTTTTTTTTTGCTTTCTCACTCTTACATTTTTGTTTTCTATATTTTATCAAGTTTGAATTTTTTTTCAAGTCTCATTTAAAAGCAGAATTTATGCTTTTTTTTTTTAAATTACCTAAAATTAAGTTTCTGTAAAATTTAAAAGTTGTGAGGTTTAAAATGTGAAAAGCTCTTCCTGTTTAGAAATTCACACATCTCATTTCTATATTATCATAAATAAAATGAATGTAATATTTTTTTTCCCCTTTTAGTAATTTTCATTAAATTAATGCAAGTGAAAAATACTAGGAAAAGGCTTTTGGGATTGTTATTTGTTACAAGCGTGTGTGCTTTTTGTAGTTCATAATGGTGACTAAAAAATTTTTTTAAAATTAACATTTGCACAGGCTTCTTTGGCTCAGTTATTTTGTATATCTTACACATTACCATTATTTAATAAATTGTGTGAATGTTTCTTTTTTATCTCTCATGTGGGTTATTTTAACAAAATTTAAGTAAAACTGAACTTACTGAAAAGACTATAATTTTGTGATAAATGAATTTAATGTGTCTAATTTGTGATAAGTGAATTTAATCAAGGGAGATACTTTGCTCAATGTAGGTTTTCATCAAAGTAGCTCCAAAAACATACATTATATCCTATTTTGATTGAAATATGAAGTTTGTTGTGGCATTATTTCATCATAAATGGTAATTGTGTACTTAATTTTTTATCTTAGTGATCCCAGTACTTCTGTGAGAAAAATTATCGAATTGTTTAAATACAAAACTTTCATTTTTATTTGAATTTCTGGTATAACTAAAAAAAAAACTTTTTTTTTAAACATCTCTTATTTTTAGTTTATGTAGATTTTTACTATTAATATTTTTAAAAAATGTGGTAATTTTAAGCATTTATTTTTAGGACTCCTAGAACTGATTCCAAAGTGGGAAGGAGACAGTTCTTTTCTTCTCCTCTTATCAAGAATTAAAATGTGTGTTTGTGTACAGTAAACATTATATTCAATATTTCATTTTTTATTTGCTTATTAGGCTACTTGTAGGACAGCTTTTCGGTTATTTACTTATTCATTGTTCTTATCTATTACTTTTTGTTGCAAGTAGTGTTCTTTGTAACTATCTTATTTAACTATTCTGTTTATTTAATCGTCTATAACTATTTTACTAACAAGCTTAATAATAAAAATAAAGAATCAGATGAGTTTCCTAGTGTGATTTTTCTATTGCATGATTTATTTGTTTACTAAATTATAAAATTTCAAAATTGTAGGCACTTAATAATTATTGCATTTGATTTTCTTTAATAATTTGTTTCTGATGCAACTAGTCAGGTCAGAAATTTTTTAACTCACATTTATTTAGAAATTGTTTGTAAATGAAATCTGTAGTTAATGTATTTCTTGGCATTATTTATTAGCTAAGTATTTAGACTCTGTAAATATTGTATAAAGTGATTATTGTATTGTATACTCTGTAGCAATATTGGAATGGGAAATAAAAGTCTGATTTCAAAACAAAAAAAGTTTTAATCGTCATTTTATTTGTATCTGCTCCAATTTTTCCCCCATTTAAATTTACTCTATTTATTAGCCCATCTATTCTCTTATCATTTAATACAAGGGTCGCATTCCCCCTAAAATTCATAAAATTCCTAAAACTATGTGCAAACCCTAAAATTCCTAAAAATCTGATAAAATTTTGTTGGTGTTCCTAAAAAATTAGAGTTATAGGCTAAATATAAATAAAAAAGCAATAATCTAAAATATAAGAATTTAACTACATTATTTAAAACTGTTTTAATTTTGCCACATGGGAATTCTGATCCTGAGAGAGGTTTTTCGATAAATAAAGCAATGCTTAATGTGAGTCACCATGAGAATACTATTATGTCTCTTAGACTAATCAAAGATACCATTCGAAATTATGGAGGAGTGTTGAAGATCACCACAACACTATTGAGGGCAGTAAAAGAATCTCACAAATCATATCAAGAATATTTTAGAAAAATGATCATGATTAATTTGTTTTTCTCTAACTTCTAATATAAATTGCTGATTTGAAATCTAATAATATCACACAATAGTTTTTCTTAATAAAGTAAGGTAAAGGGTAATAATAAAGTTTTGATTAAGAAGGTAAAAATTAAATAAAAATCCAAGTTGGTGTTAATTTATTTTTTCTCTTGATTTATTCTCACTTTTGCCTGTTCCTGAATTATGCACTTAATTTCTGATAGGTAATATGTAAAGTTGAAATTTCATTTTTACACTTTAGAGATTTCATTCTTGACTTAATAAATTTCAGAGCTTTATTTTATGGCTTGCAATTATTTATGATATGTGTGGATGAATTGTAATAATCTTCTGTTATGTAATAAACTACCGTATGATCTGTTTTTATCCTAGCAAAATCATATATTACCCCTAAAATTTACCTAAATTTTTTTGAAAAAAGCTCCTAAAATTTTAAAAAGCTTTGCTGCTACCCCTGAATAGAAATATTGTGAAGAAAAAAAAAACTTCCTTAAAAACCAATCAAAATTGTTTGTGCTTTAAGGATAACAATTTTAATACTGGCATATTTTTTTGACATAACTTAATTTTATTACTTTCGTTAAAATTCTATCAGTACCATGTATCAGTACTGATCATCAGTATCAGTATTTGTACCATGAAACAACACGCAGTCAAATGAAAAATATTTCGTAAAATGTGCATTATATTCTTGCAGGGCTACCATCTACTATGTTTTTGCAAAATATTTTAAATAGTAAAGTGGTTGTAGTGGTGTGGAGAATAACTTTAAATCAAATTTTCTAAAACAAAGATAATGCAAAGTTAATATTCGAATACAAAGATAATACATTAAAACATAAACTTAATTGTATAAACATTGAAAATTGCATTTTCAAAATTTATTATTCCTTTCTTATATTTAAGCAAGAAAGTAAAACAGCTACTTTTTTGTAAAAAATATTTTGTTTTGAAAATATTTTATTACAGAAAAATTGTGTTGATTGTTTTGAAAAATTTGATATTGATAGAAATATTTTGATTACAATATTGCTGGCAATTATTTATTTTCATAAATTAATAATTTAAATTATTTATTTTCATAAAAGAAGTGAAAAGGTTTTGCATAAAATGCCCATATTTAGTTTGGTTTTGGCCTTATTTAAAATAGCTTAACTGCTGTTATTTTACTGTTTTACTCTTCTTATTTAACACTTATTAAAACTGTTCTTCCGGTAACCATGAAAAAATACAAATTTTGAACAAAATCGGTCGGATAGTTCTGAAAAAAAAAAGGAATTTTAAATATACGACTTACTTTTACATTCGATTCTTTAGGAACTATTCTTCCAATTTTGCGCTTTGCCTGCAAAATTACACTCATAAATGATGTTGAATTTTGTACACCTTATAGTTCAAAAATTTTTCGACTACTATTAAATAAAATAATAAATATTCTGAAAAATTTTATTTTTTTTGTATGGAATTATCTTTGGATAAGCAAGTGTTATGATAGTGTAAGAAAATTTTTCTATTCACTGAAAAAGTTCTCGAGATTTGGCGAAATACTTTTGCGTATTTCGAACAAACTTTGATACGCTTGACTTGGATAAATTTTTAAATAAAGCTAAATTTTTTAATTTTATGGAAGTAAAAAAGATCAAAAGCTAAATTTTAGGTTGGTAATAAAAAAATTATCTTTTTTAAAGTTAAAATTTCCAGTTAATTCAAATAAAAATATAACTTTAAAACAGTAAAGTATTGTTTTTATTATACAATTTCATACTGTGAATAATGTATGATAATTATGAAATTACAAATGACTCTAGCAAAATGAGAGATGACTTACATCAAATATGTTTTAGAAACTAGAAAGTTTAATTGAAATTTTAATAAAATCTGCTCATTTTTAAAATAAAAAGGAATACTTTTAAAATTAAAAATAAACACTTGAAAAGAAAAAAATATCAATCTAAGTTTATCTAATCAAGCATTATTTCCTTGTTAAATTTGAAATTTTCATTTATAAAAATCAGCTGGATACAATATATGATTTAGAGCAGGGGTTTCCAACTTACATGAGGCTGGGGGACACATTTAAAAACACAAATCAAATGGCGGGCCACAACTTAATCAAAATTTTATGTAGGACTCTTTTATCTTTGAAGGAACATTAAACATCACTGTCAGATTTTTATCAAGTTGTACAAAACAAAAGTATTGAATTTCAAATTAAAATAAGAAGTCGATTTTTAAAAATATTTAATTGTCATTAATAATATTTTTAAAAATATTAAATAAATAATAAAAATTCTGGCTACAATAACTTTAATGAGCACCTATGTATTAAACAATTAATGTGCAACAGACATCTAATTGTTAAGATATAAAACTTTAAAAAGGTTGGTATTAAGACTTGCATAGTAGCACACAAAATGTTCAATGCGAAAATTGAGGTTTGTCTGCAGCAACCACCAGAGAATAGATATTTACATTTAAAATTTACAAATGTGTGTGTAAATATTTTCGTCCTAAATGAGTGGTTTCAAAAAGTTAAATCAAAGAATTTCTTCGAGAAAATTTCTGATACGCACATGCTAAATTATATTCACAAAATACAAAAAAATGGAATAAAAAAGAGCAACATACACAATAATTTTTGTATTTGAATAAATATTTTCTTGGATGCAAAACCTGAGAAATAAATTTTTTGCACCGTTAGTATGCTAAATTTCACAGAGACGAAGAAATTGGGTTATTATTAACGAGAAAAGTATTTTAAACCCATATAGATTTTTTACGAAAATTGTCCGCAAAAAATGACACCTAATATATTTTAGTTCGCGGGCCACAAAAAAATGCTCCGCGGGCAGCCAGTTGGACACCCCTGATAGAGTAAGAGGGGAAAAAATGGATGGTGCAGAATTCAGCAATATTATTTTATTTAGTATTTCCGTATTGCTATCAAGTAAATAATTCCATGACATTATAAAACTATTGTTCCATATTTTACCGAATTACTTATTAATGTAATGACAAATTCAAAATTTCTTTCTGCAAAACGGGAATTTAATCAAAATATAACTCGAAATTAATCAAAGCAAGAACATGTTTTAAGGGATTACATTAATTTTGGAGAGAGTCAAATATTGAAATAAAGACAAAAATAGTTGTTTACAAAGCTATTGTTAGAGCAGTACTATTATATGGCGTAGAAACCTGGAAACAGACTAAGATCGAAATACAAAAATTAGAAACCTTTCAAAACAAATGTTTAAGATTTATTTTTAAAATTTTCTGGCCTTACAAAATATCAAATCAAAATCTATTAAAGAAAGCTAAAATAAAAACAATCGAAGATGAAATTAAAAAACGAAAATGGAGCTGGCTCGGACATATCCTTAGAATGCCCAAAGAAAAAATTTCATCTGTTGCGCTTACATGGGCCCCTGATTTTAAAAGAACAAGAGGAAGACCCAGACTTACCATCCAGCACATGTTTTTGGGCGAATTAAAAGAATGTAGAATATCTGGCTGGGAGGAAGCAAGATCTATTGCTAAAGACAGGAGGCGTTGGAGGGATATGCAAGAGGCCTTAAGTGCCCAAGGCACATAGAGGATAAGTAAGTAAGTAATAACTCGAAATATACCTCTCAAAAATTCGCGGCGCTTCTGATCATAGCTTATTTTATGTGCCTTTTATATTCGAAATTATCTTTGTTGCTATCCGTATATTTACTTTTTTTTCTCGCCGTCTTATTTGCAAATTTTGGGTGAATTTTTAAAATTAAGCGTTAGATACAGATTTTACATATTTTGAAATTCCGTTGCGTAAAACAAGGCATCGATTTTTAAAATTTACTGACTTACCTAATCGTTTTAAAAAGTTACGAAAGACCTAAAAATGTAGTATCATAGTTTCCATAAATGAAAAAAAGTGTCCATTTAGTTTATGAAAACAAATATTTTTAAAAAATTTGCGATTCTTGTTATTTGATTATGAACCACTGAAATACTTATATGCCTTGATATTGTTTCAATTTTAAAAGAGCAAATGATTAACAGAAATTAATTGAAAGTTTTTCAGTTAAGCTCACAATGTTATTATCAGTTAATATTAGAATTTTTATTCCCTATTTTAAATAAAATTCTCTTGCTACTATTGTCCCTATTTTGTTGAGATGTTTAATTATGAAAATATATTCGATTGCTTGTTAGTTGATTAATCAATGCATCATTCGATTAAAATCTATCATTTATTTATCAGTAGTTCTGAAAATTGACTAATTTCACATGTTTTGAAAATGTTACATTTAAACTGCGATTTTTTTTTTCTTTTAACTTTACAACATTTATCAAAATCAATTAGAATATTTCAGTTGTATTACAGGTAATACAAACGGTAATTCTTAAAAAAAAAAATGTATTTGGCCCAAATTTTTACTTTAAAAGGAAGTTTTCACAGAGCTAGTTCAACTCAGTTTGCTTGCTGTTATCTTT